ATTGCGACTGAATAACAGAGAAAGAGAGAGGGGAGCAGCGTGAATTATGGATGTAAACTAGTCTTCGAACCCCCTCCCCGCCCCTCCGACGTGCGGTATGTACGGGGTGTCGCGTATTCGTGATCTCTTCCTTTAGTTTTCAGCGATTCAGATTTCGCAAATATTCCGAAGTTAACGACGCCTCAGGCGATCTCCGATCGAGTTCTTTTGATTCCACCGGAGCCACAACTTTCATCTCAACCTGCTAAATTCCACTTCGGTTTGAATCTTCGCTTATTTCGAAGAACCTTCTTCGGACACGACACTCCCCGTTTATTGTATATTCGCAGATGCAAAACGGAACTTCAGCTTCCGCTTTAATTGAATTCGCTGTCCCATAGTGTCCACGAATTCGTGAAGCTCGTGTCGCAAACGGACGGGGAAATTTCGAAAATTCGGGATGCTTCTTTTTTTCTCGCACTCGCCGCGATCGGAGGCGCGAAGCGGGTTCCCGCGGGGTGACTCGTTGAGGCAGCCTCGTTAAAGTTTCAATCGAAAAGTTTCGCCCGAAAGGATATCTCTCCACGTAACGTCGAGAGAATGACGAAAGGGAACAACTTCTAATAGCCGTCAGAGACAGCGGTGACAGTCGATTAATAAAAGTATCAGATCCGCGCGACGGTGTTGTGTCTAAATCAGGGACAGCGCGGGGTCAGCAACCCCCCCGGTAATCGCGAGCGATGAGAGGACGGCGGGATCTTTTTTCATTTTTCTGGAAATCGAGCGGCAGCGGCATGAATTATTACCGAGATCACGAATCCGCTTTCCACCCGACTTCGTTTCGCAGTAGAAATACGAGGGTTCTATGAACCGAGCTTGTTAAAACTTCAGGTGCTCCAGGAGCAACGGCGCGCAAAGCTTTGACGCTTTCCAGAAATTACATTTCGAGAAATCCAATTCTTTTCCTTTTTTTCTCCTCTTTTCACTCTCTTTTCTCTCTCTCTCTCTCTCTCTCTACCCTCCATCTTGTCCCGTTTTCTAATTAAAAATCCGCGGATCCCGATCTCGTATCCTCCCGGAGACGCGGCTCGCGGAAGACGCGTGGAATTCCTCCGTCTCCTCGTGGCCGATCGCTGCGTCGATCTCGAAAGCGGCGGCCTCTTGACGTTTTTCCGCGAGGGAAACACGCCCTCGTACGTGCGGCGGGACGCGTCTCGGGCTTGCCGAGGGATCTCGCGGCCCGCGCGTTTTCCCCGGATTAAGTTCCGGAGCGACGACGAATCGCCGCGGAATCGGCCGGGCGGGGGTGGAGGGGTGGCGGCGAAAAAGACCGGCAATATCAGATATACGCCGCGCACGCGGGCCAGGAATGCTCGTTCTGTACGTGGCTCGCGAAGGATATAATAATAATATCGGCACGAACGCGCGGGTGGGGTATATAGTCGTCACGACGGATCACGTCGAAAGTCGTGATCCTCCGCGGCGTCCAGGGACGGCGAGATCGCGCTTGTGATCGCAGCTCTCTCTCTCTCTCTCTCTCTCCTCTCTCTCGCAGGAAGAAGGCAGCCCGGGAAAAGAGGATCTCTCTTCTCTCTGCCCGGCAACCTCCGCGCGCGCACAAAGTTCTGGTGCGTGCAATGCGAAACGTGACAGAACCCACCCGCCCTTCGTCCGCCCTCCTAACAATACCCTCGTCTCTTCTGCCGCCGCTTCTTCTTCTTCTTTCCCGTCTACCTTCCCGCACAGCTCCTCCCCCTCCCCTCCTTCTCCCCGCATCCTCCCCGTCCCCATCCCGCTTCTCCTTTCTCTCTCCTCTCTTAATCTCGTCTTTCTTCCACCTCACCTCCGTTCGTCCGTCCGTTGCCTACCGCTCTCGACCCGACCTCACTCGCGATCTTGACTCCTCGCGAAACGATCTCCGAAGGCATTTCAGCAGCGACTCGCGGCATCAAGGATAACCAGGATCCGTTAACGCGACGTCCGATTCTACTCGTCGGTCGTGCCGGCTCGGAGTTATAAATCGGCGTCGAATGGCGCGTAAAAGTGGACGCCGGCTGTATTAAACGCCGCGAAGATTGACGGGGTCCTGGAGAGAGAGAGAGAGAGAGAGAGGAACCAGTGGGTACCGCCGTTGGCTTACGCGAGAGTGTCCCCTCTTCTGCCTCCCAGCCGATATTTACCGCCGGCCAATTTATCGCGTATTAACGCGATAATTTATGCCGACCGTTATAATTTACGCGAGCGTAAACAATGCTGGACACGGCTGCGCGTTACAAATTTCCGCGCCGTTTCGGGCGCATGCTCGGCCGACGGCGAGAGAGACGCTCTCACGGAACGGCCGACAACCGAGAATCGCCCCGGTGAGTTCCCGCCTTCAGCGGGACGAACGTTCCAAGTTGCGATTGCTGCTCGATTATTATTTTACGCAATCTGCTCCCCTTATCCGAGCAGCCACGAGGATTCTCCTCGAACGCGTCCGAACTGATTTTTCAGGACGGTCAGTCTTCACTTGGCTGAGTATACCAATAACATGTCGCAATTATAAATCTACGTCCAACTGAAGTGCGGTCTGTTAGCGTCCGAGGGTGGAAGATCCTCCCCCGCGCGCGTTTACCTGTTCTTACGTAAAACCTCGAGAGACTTACTTGATATCCGGATAACTTAGCGTTGATTAAATTTAACATTACCGTCTCTCCGGAATTATTCGCTTTTTCGTGTCGGATTACGTCGTACAGCATATGGGAGATTTAAACTGTTAAGTCGCTCATCTCTGTTTGCAGATAAATATTAATGTCTCTTTCGTGACACTTAATATCATTGATTATATTATATAATTATCATAATACTTTTCATTCATATTTTTTATTAATATCATATACTTATATTTATATAAATATCATATTTATCATTAATATCACTGTGTCCAATATCAATGATACTTAATAGCATCATTGATCTTTATCAATCTTTATCTATATGTTCATTATACTCTTTCAAAGGTGCCATTATCAATCACCCGAATTTAAGTTCTTCTGGAACCAATGTTTTTCCTTTATCTCTTGCTTTTTGTGTTTTTTTCCTTATTTTTCTTCTTTTTATCTGGTATCTTTTGTTGTTTATGGTTGTGCTTCGCGTCATATTGGGATGGAAAGAGGAAGAACTTCTCTTTTTCTGTTATATCGTGCATTTTTCATGTACTCTTATTTCACTCCCTCCTTTCCTTCTTTTTCGGATACATTATATCATAGAAATGAGTCCTCTATAATTACGTAAACGAAGACAATATAAAATAATTTATTTAATTTATTAGAGAAAGGGACAGACTGTGCTTAAACTGTATCGAAAAGGGAAATCGTGTATTTCTTGTTTTTTTCTATACTCAATCGTCACGACTCGCGACGACTTATTATTTATATCAGTATACATGTCATAGCACTGTAACTGCGTTTTGTTATTATCGTTTCTGAGTTCTTTTGTCGTTTTATTGGAGTATTCACCTCTTATATTTTTCTTTCGCTACGCATATGTAGTTTCGGTAAACAAGTTTAGTCGGATATCTGTGAATAAGAATCTAAGAAAGATTAAGATTGAATTGCTATATACGATCGAATGTTTAATTACTTCGATAATCTAATCGTTACTGGTTGCTCCCGAGACACAGTGATAAAAATCGCCATCAGTCCGGCGCGGACATCCGGGATTACATTATCGCGAGGAAAGTGGCCGAATATCAGGACGATAACCGGCCGCCACTTATGCCGTATTCGTGCTTGCGGCATTTGAATTTATGCCGGACGAGCGTGCGCAAAAGAGAGAGAGAGAGAACACGATCGACGCAGTCGTTGAAGATCGATAATTCCCGCGGCGTACAACGCCGTACGGTAAAACCGCCCCGCGAAAAAAATGCCGTCGGCACGTTTTCTCTCTTTCTCTCTTCCTCTCTCGTGGGCGAATGCGCGCGCGCTCACGGGATTTCGCTGAACGCGATTCGAGCGACCCGACCGTGAGATTTGGATCACCCCGTATAGCACACGAGAGGTATATGATGGCGACCTCGCTATCTTACCTCACGATCCTGATCACGATCACGCACGCACGCCGAACCGCCCACTGCGTCCCCTCGCAGGCCCACGTCTATACTGTCCCCTTCTTCTACTACTACCATTACTACTACCTACTACCACTACTACCACCGCCACCTTCACTCCCCGGGTCCCGACTACTCTTTCCGTTCTTTGCGTCGCACACACACGTGCGTGCGTGCCTGCGTAGAGAAATAATGCCGCGCGAAGCTGGCGGCCGTTCCTCCGAACGGTAATGCACCAACTCTCTCGCGCGCGTCCCGCATAATAGTTATCCTTCATCTTCCTCGACGAGAACCGTCGAGTATTTCGACGATCGTCAGGTCGACCGATCGATAATCGCCGCATACCCGCGTTTCATCTTTCCACACTAATCTCGGGATCGCCGATCGATCGCTCGTTGTATAGGCGCACTGAGAAAAAGGAGTGTTGAAATTTTTCCGATATTTCTCGTGACATTTTCTTCGATATTTATCGATTAGAAGAGATTTCACTGTGATGATAGAATATATACTTTGGTGAAGTATACCTAAGTTTTCTCATTTATTGGTTTATTTGTTGGGGATAATATTTTAATTCGCCGTATTTTATAAATGAACGTTTATGTCTGTGAGATATACTTTGTACTTCACGAATATGTTGTTAAATCTTTTTTTCTCAGTTTGAATTGGCAACCAGATTTTGCGACACGGTGTTCCAGTTATAGAACAGATATTCTCTCTCTCTCTCTCTCTCTCTCTCTCTCTATATATATATATATATATATATATATATATATATATATTACTTAAGATTATAAATCACTTATTTGATAAATTAAGGTTGACAGTTTTGGACGCGCTTAAGTTTTTATGAAAGGTTAAATATGAATAATGCACATGATTGTGTGGTTTCTGCACATTTATTGGATTTTTGTGATACAAATAAATTCAGGTCGTCCACTATTCTGCATGTAGTGTGAATAGATAAATGAAAATCGCTCTTCTGTATTGCTAATACAATTTGTTGCTCTTATTATTATATACTCATATTGCTAGATCGGCGTTCAGACGTTCACAAAAAAGAAGAAGAAACACTTTGACTCTGACAGTAGCATGTTAGGCCTACGAGGCTTACACATGTTTTCTTTCGCTTACCCCCTCTTTCATATTTAGTGCAGGATGCCATATCCCGCTCTTATTCCTTTATTACTCAGAAAAGAAAGTCGCATCCACTGCTACTGCCAACCTAATCCATTGAAATAACTGGTTTCCTGGCGACAACCAGCCTACAGAAACAATAAATAAAAATTGGCAGTAAACTTAATAATTCATAGAAAATCCAAACATCCGAAAGACCACAATTTTTACCATTTTTTTCCACAATGTAGGTTTGAGGGACCTATGATATTGCTTCAGCGTAAAGATCGCGAATGTCGCTCTCAGGTTTAACGAATTAAGTCTAATTTCATTCTTTCGCTTTTGACTCTTCCAACCCAGTTTGTAACGACCTATTCGGTTATCCTTTGTTCGCACTTCTATCTTTTGTGCGAGTCATGCTCGCAGACCTCTGCAATAATCGGCAAATTTAAATAACGACTAGAAATCTGTCGAATTTCTGTATATCCATATTTGAGCGTGTGAAAATCACATATACCATTTTACGGTCGAGGATGAAAAAAGTCACGAGGATGTGAATCGGTAAACTTTCTTCCGGGCGAAGAGTTTCGAACGCTTTCTGTTTACGACGGAGTTCGCCGCGAATATATATGTACTTCGCCGTAGTTTAAAATCATCACAGGTACTGTATTTATTCCCTTCCTGTCGGAGGCGAATCTTTCGACTTCTTCGTCGATGCGAGGGGGCGTGCATCGCCGCGGAAGGAAATCACTGCGATCGGCCAGTTTCCTTAACGAAGTATTCTTACAATCTCCGTCTCTCGTAAACAAAAGGTATTTACATCTCGTCGAAGGAGCATTCGCGAGACGATGTTTATTACAACAGGACCTTTCCGCGTCTTCGGGATCAGCGAATCTCTCTCTTTCTCTCCTAAAGTTCGGCCACCTCTCTGTATCCGTTACACCCTGTATATTATTACCACACCGTACCGCACGATGGAGCGCGTGCGTCGGTTCCGGGATCCGGGCGGTCCGTGCGAATATTATTAACGCGGGGCCTCGCGCGAAGGAAGGGAACACCATTACCGCGCGCGGCACAAAGGACATTACTCGCTCGAGCTGCTCTCTTACGTTTCGCCGGCATACGTCGCACCCACATACTTGCTACATACGTAAGCGCGTACGCACGCGTGACCGCGGGCACGCTTCTCGCGCACGACTAACGGTGCCCGCGGTGATTTTTCGATTCCGTTCCCCTTCTAAGCCCCGGCTAGAACGCGAGCGAACGGCGCGTAGGTGGAATCGCACGAACGAACGAACGGACGGACGGACGAACGTCGCCGTGACCCGCCGTAACCTCGGCCGACCACCGCCGATATCTCGGATCGACGAGCGCGATGCGGAATGTCCGATTAGCGCGGCCGACCCGACCGACCTACCGCGCCGCTACTTTTCGTGCCTCGACGTTTCCGCTGGAACTGCGTTTCCTCATCGGCCCGATCGAGTTTCCATATTCCGCTCTTGCTTTCGATCTTAATCCATCAAAGAGCTCGTCATTATTTCACGCGCACTTTGTCGCTGGAAAATGTATCTGTTTATTTTCTACGCTGAGAAATCTGTTTAGTCGAATCAGAGTTCTTGCTTGGATATGGGCAAGCAAGAATTTTCTTCATTCGGTTGATTGATTAACCCCTTTACTTGTACGCTCGAGTTAATTCGAGCGCGCTAAACAGGCCAAACTGTGCACACTCGAGATAATTCGAGCGGCGTTGTATTTTATGCTGCTATAATTTTTCACACTCGAATATAATCGAGAATTGAAAATAACAATGTGAAAGCAAAGAAAAACATTTTTTTACATAAAAAAAGATTTATTTTTTTGGCCGGTTTTTTTCAAAAAAACTGTGCGTTAAGGGGTTAAATTGATTTCTCAGTGTATGGGATCGCAGATTAGTATTAGATCTATTTTTATTGGACGCGTGTATATAATTGAGAATTAGACGCTGTGTGATAAACAAAAAATGATGCACATGTGTATATATATGTAATTCCTTATTTTTATCTGATGGTCAGTGTCCTATTTATGGAACACACTTTTTCATTAAATAGAGTCATTATATGAGACGTAGTAGTTAGTTATTATTTTAAGTTGATTGCGAATTTTTTCATAAAATATACACTTTTATCAGTGTATTTCCATATGAAATCTGCTTGGTTCATATCAATACTTTTACAATGTTTATGATAAAAGACTTAATAAAGTCAATGCAATATATATGACACAGATGTTGCATCAAATAATTGAGATTTAACTGTGTAATACGAATAATATTTTCTAACTATGGTCAGAAAATTAAGTAAATTCCACAATAAATACGATCATTAATATGCCGAGTCAGCTTTGTGACCTTTTTATCGAAGACATGTTGCATTTCGATATGTTATCCCACATGAACAAAAAATTGCATTCTTTTTGCTCTTATTTGTTATATATTTATTAATTTTATATAAAAATACTGAAATGTTGTTGAAAAAATTCGGACAATTATTCGACGTATATTAGTTCGCGATATAACCCCGAGATTGATTTCGTTTATCTCAATCCAAATCGTTCCGATTGATCCGTTTTTAATAATAATAATAATCTTGGTTAACGAGAGAACCTTTTGTCATACATGACATAGACTAAATATCGCAGACAGATAGGCAGAAATTACGAAAGGAAAGGACATTCGACGCGTGGTATTTAGCAAAAAAGAGAGCTTATAAACAAACGAGAAAGCAATACAAAGCGCGAATAATGAATTATATAAACAAACAATAATCACCACAACGTGGTAATGCAGAAATATACGTAAACTAAGACTTATAAAATCATACGCGCGCAATGTACAGCGAAGAAGTGATCGCGTGTGGAATAGCTCGCGCGAGACTCGCATTTCGATACACCTCGATAGTGTCACGTAGACACCGACAGACACGTGCATATGTATATCCGTAGGTATGCTCGCACTTTTGCGAGCAGCCCCGCAGCTACATCTAAATACCGAAGGTAAAGTATCTTTCGCGGCTGGAGAGCCCCGGCTAGGGAAGCGGTCTCTCGACGCTGATCGACGCCCGTGATCCGTTTCCCTAAGAACACGACGGTCTCCCGGCGGACCGGACCGCGGGGCATCGCAGTGCGGATATATATATCGCCGTGGAGTTCTCTTTGACCCGGCTTGACCCCCAGGGACGCCCGCGTACGGAGGTCCGTATTTGCGCTCCGAGACGGTCCGTCGTTGTCGTTGGCGACGTCGTTCCCGCCTTCGTTCTCGCGCGATGGTAGGTAGGTAGTTCGTAATTCTCGTCCGCTGCCTCCAGGAGTCCGGCCGGGGTCATCCCCCGCTCATAATTGCTGCCTCGCTCCTGCCGCCCCCGCCGCTCGTGCTCGCGCTATTATTCCTTCGCATTTAATTAAGCGTCCGGCGACAATTTACGGACCAGTGACAGATCTGAGATTTAGCCGAGCGTTAGCGCGCGCGTCTCGACGTGTCCGCACGTGTGTTTTCTCGCGTGACGTAATCGATGAAACGATCGATGCGGTAATCCGGCGGGAAAGAGAGACCGACGCGAATACCGCGCTCGAGTTGCAAATTTGATACAGTGTTGGCGATATGACGGCGGGGAAAGAAATAATTAATTCCTTCGACTCTTGCTCTCTCGCGGACGATCGGGCTCGCGACCCGTCTGAATTGATCGATTCACGCGAAATGGATTATTAACCGTTTGCGGTCCGGCTTGTTTCCAGCTTCTCTTCTTTTCCCGACCGCCGCGCAGAAATTCTGATTTCCACTTGTGTCGCGCGGTAGTTCGCGCTTGTTTCAATATTTCAGCACTGAACTAATGCACACAGCAGTTGTTTATGGCGACGTGTACGTATTAAGCATGATGTCAACGTGCAAAAATGGCCCGTAGGATTGACCGGGACGAAACGATGACGTCGAGTTAGAGTCGAAGTACGAGAGATCGGAAATTGCTGACATGTACTGCGTCTTTGTTTGAAATCAAATTACAGATGGAACTGGAAGAAACGGGGTAAATATTTTTAAAAAGAATTCACACTCAGGATTAATTTTGTTACGTGTTTTGTGAATTTTGTCACGTAAACTGCAATCAAGTCAAATTGAACAAATATTGAATCTTATCAACAATTTGACGTCGGAATTTGAATAACAAAATTTTGATGGCGGTAAAAAGTTAACAAAATTGAAATGTAGTTATATAAGCATGAAATAGATATTCCTTCAAGCACCAAAAGCTTCATGTAACTATATGATATGACGAATCACACTTGTAATTGGAAGATTAAGTAAACAGCACAATAAGTACAGTGAATATGTGTCAATTTTATGATCGCCTCATTAAAATAAATTCTGATTTTGTTTTATACAAAGAAATGATTTTAAAAAACATGAGAATTTCACTGAAAGAATTAAAGCAGTTGGTTCGCCATACCCAACTTTGGAATTGAGTTCGTTTAACTTCGCTTGAGTTATCTCGCTTGATCTTTCTTTTCAATAAAGTGCTATATCGACGAGAATGAAATATTTTAATACATGCAGCCTGTACTTTGAGAGAAAATGCGATTAAAGTCACTATAATCTCACTATATGTTATAATCGCTTTTGTGGGCTCATATATTTTTATAATAGTCTTAAGCATACAAAATAAAATAAAATATAATAAAATTCAGATTTATACTCATAGCAACTTTGATATTTATTTGTGCAACCATATTTTGTGGCTGTCATAAACTAAGATTTTCGTATATAATTTTCTTATGAAGAACATACTATAAAATATAGTTATAAAAAATAGCTATACGCAATAGTAATAAAAATAGATTCATATCATTACCGTGTGTATAATAAAACACACACAGAAAAATTCCACTAAAATTATAGTCATTTTTGGTTTCAGCTTTATCTTCTTTTGGTTTTAACTAAAAAAATTAACTAAAAAAATAATGTATCAATATACTTATAAAGTTATTATCATTGACACTTTGTAACATTTGCTAGAAAAATCAGGTCATCCTGATTATAATTTTTTTACTTATGCGATTATAGTTGTAAATATCGAAATTTTTTTCAGTGTACGTGTTAAGAATGTCGTTATATGTACTATTATTTGTTATTTATTTCGATCGTGTTAACTATATAAACAGTTCAGTTTCTATTACTATTCTATATATTTACTATTTTACTATAAATTATACTTAAAATCATCATAATCTGTGACAAAAAATTTACATAAGTTAAGTGTAGTCACATTATTCCTATATCTTCATCCCAACCAACATTATATAATGACACTAATTACATAAATAGTATTTTCTAACTATAATTTGTACTACAACTTTGAGCAATAATTTCTGCAACTTTCGCCTGTAACTATAGTTCCAAATATCATCGTATTTTTGTCTCAGTGTACATTTTCGTGCGGAGTTACGTATCGTTACAGTACGATTTTCGTATAAGGTTTTCCCCGAGCATTTTCTTCGTGTTTCGCGAGCATGTCATAATTCGTCTCACGAGGATCATCGATGATCGCGCTATGAGGGCTGATAGAGGGTAGGGGGGGGGGAAGCAGGAGGAGGAGGAGGAGAAGAAGGAGGAAGGCTTAAGGTCCGGCGAGGGATGCCTCGGGTCGGCATAAGGCACGGTAACTGCAAAGGTACGGGTAGATCATTAGCAATGATTTGTTGTCGAGTAGGCTGCCCAATGACCCCGCCGGCCGGAGCGTGAACTCCGGGCGTGTCGGGAGATCCCCGCGCACGATGATCTCGTATCCCCGTAACTATCGACTTCTTCGCGTCTCGATGCGTGCGTTGATCGTAACGCCGCGTGAGCGAGCGTTGCGCGCGCGTCGCGACCGCCGATCGTATTAAAGCGATTCGCGAGAACGAAAGAGATGGCGAAGCGAGAGAGAAAGAGAGAGAGAGAGAGAAGATGCCGTCGAAATTTACCGTC